GGGGGGTGGTTGCGCGTATGACATGGATAACTGACACACGTCATGTCTCAAAGTGAATCTCTGTTACTGAAATAATCTGATGCAGACGTCTTAGAATGATGAGTTTTTATTTTTATTGAATGTTACCACTCTTCTACTTCTAGAGACAAGTTGGACCCTCAGAAGACAGTAAATACCTGGTTCAGTGGTCTTGGTGCTAAACGATGAACAAGTATACACGTCCAACATAGTACATATACACGCTTACATAAGATGACAGGGGGCGTTTCTGCACTCTTACATTTGAGAATAGATGCTTTGCATTCTTATACAATTTGAGGATAGATGTTTTTGCATTCTTTCCTTATTTGAGAATAGGTGTTTCTGCATTCTTACATAATTTGAAAGTACATGTTAGTGTCTTTTCACATAATTTGAGAATAGGTGTTGATACATTCTTACATAGCTTGAAAATAGGTGTTTCTGCTCTCATACATAATTTGAGGTGCACTCACTCTTAATTTTAGAATATGTGTTAGTGCACTTTTACATTTGAGAATAGGTATTTCTGAGTCTCTTTCTTTTACCAGAAGGATTGCACCTTCTGCGGGTATGCAGGCTTTATATATTTTACTCCGCCACCCCCCCCTCCCTTCCCCCAACTGCCAAAGCCTCTTGGGTTTGGGGGGGGAGGGGTAGGATGGTTTTGAGGTTCAGATGAAATGGATGGGGGTTTGGATGAGATGAGGTGAGAGTTGGGATGGGATGGAATGAGGGATGGGATGAGATGGGGTGAAAGTTGGGATGGGATGAAATGAGGGTTGGGATGAGATGGGGTGAGAGTTGGGATGGGATGGAATGAGGGTTGGGATGAGATGGGGTGAGAGTTGGGATGGGATGAAATGAGGGTTGGGATGAGATGGGGTTGGTGAAACAAAGTATCTTCCAGGCACACCTTTGTAGAAACTTCTTTCTTTGTTTCTTTGTTCCTCTGTTTGTTTAGGTGTTTGCTTCCTGCTTTCTTCCTTCCTTTCTTTTTTCTTCCTTTGTTACTTTCTTCCTTTGTTTTTTCTTCCTTTGTTACTTTCTTTCTTCCTTTCTTTTTTTCTTTCTTTGTTACTTTCTTCCTTTGTTTTTTGCTTCCTGCTTTCTTTCTTTCTCTCTTTCTTTCTTTTCTTTCTTTCTATCTTCCTTTCTCTTTCTTTCCTTTTTTCTTTCTTTCTTTCTTTTTTCTTTGTTTGTTTGTTTGTTTGTTTGTTTGTTTGTTTGTTTGTTCGTTAGTACTATTTTGTTTATCTGTCTTTCTTTCTCTGATTCCTTCGTTTGTTTGTTTGCTTCCTTCCTTCCTTCCTTCTTTTTTCCTTTTCTTCTTTCTTTCTTTCTTTCTTTCTTTCTTTCTTTCTTTCTTTCTTTCTTTCTTTCTCACTTTCTTTCTTTCATTCTTTCAGTTTTTATATGTTTACTTGTTTGTTTATTTGTTTGTTCGTTTGTACTACTCTGATTATCTGTCTTTCTTTTTCTGATTCTTGCCTAATAATTCAGTCTAGTTGTTTATCAGGGTAACGGAATGGAGATTCATAGATCTATTTCCTAACTCTGTTCGTGCGTGTCCCTTGTAGATGGCTTTCGGAGATGAGGCTGAAACAAGTTTGGAAAGTCCTCGACGTCATACGTGGACAATTTTGTTTTGCCTTGTCTCTGGATTCTCTCTCCACTTCATTCTCTATCTCTCTTTCTCTCTCTCCCTCTCTGTCCTTTACTGACTCGCTCTGTACCCTCTTCTCACACACTCTCTTTTTATCCTTCTCTCTCTCTCTCCCAGTTTGCTTCTTTCTCCACTTCGTTCTCTCTGTCTCTTTTTTACTGTCTCTCTTTGTATCTCTTTCTCACACACTCTCTCTTTTTACGCTTTTCTCTCCCCCCCTCTCTCTCTCTCCCTCTCTCTCTCTCTCTCTCTCTCTCTCTCTCTCTCTCTCTCTCTCTCTCTCTGCCAGTCTGCTCCGGCGCACACATTCAAGCATGCGTAAATACTGTCTCGATCCCTTCTCCCCCTCTCTCATTCTATTCCTTCCTCCCACCTCTCACCCTTTTACTTTCACTCAAATACACGTTCTCTTCCTCACGCACTATAAACAACCGTAAAAATTCAATCTTATGCACACTCACACACACTAGATAGCTCCCAAAAGACATGCCCTCAGACAGAAAACGTGCTCCATCGTTTCCATGGAGCACATTTCTGATGAAAAAGAAATGAATGATTTCATGTATCTACACACATCTGCAGAAAGGTAAATACGTGTGTAGGTACACAAGTTACGACCTGTCAATAGCTAGAAACATCGATATACGGATCGATGAGCGGGGATAGAGATCGATGTGTTAATTGATAGATGGGTACATAAATCAATAAACCCCAGTTCAAGAACTGTTTGTACATATAAACGGGAGTTATTGCCGACGAAGATGAGACACTTGGTCATAGTTCTTTATCGTATCGTAACGCTTTCACTCTTCATGACAATGTTCGAATTTTTCGGTGTTGGTTTTGAAGTTATGAATGATCTTTTATTCCTATTGTCGTCAAACTCGAGAACAAAACACACTGCCCCCTGTCGAAGCAAGAGAACTGTGGTGTGCAGAGAGAAAACACTCTTTGGAAGATAACAAAAATTCGAAAATGACTCAAATTTGAACGACAAACTTGGGAATGATAACAAAAAACAAGCTCGTTACCGACTGAGGTCGATCGGGTCATTGTTTATGTTTTCGTTCTAGTT